CCCTATTCGCACAAATCCCAGGACTGCCTCAGCCGCCAACATCGGCTCGGCTTGTGAATGAAAGGAAAAACAACTTCTGGCAATGTAAACACTTGGCCGTCTCATGTACTGCGTCCTGTCTTGTGACCTTTTTGGCTGCTTGCTGTAGAGCCATAGTCACCTCTCAGATCCCGTCTCCCCTCCCGGCCTGTCCGTGAGGGATTGCCCCTGGACAGCTCAGAGTCGACGTCTTGTGGACGATTTCAAGAGTCGCCAACGCTATCGGGTCCGGTATTGTTTTTCCCATCAGGCCCCTGCTGACTTTCTCGCCCACAATTGAGCTTCCAAGTTCCCACTCAGCCTCCTCGTCGGGTTACCCCTTCCTCGAGGACGATCTTTCGTGCCTGTCCAGCCTGCTTCACGCTTCCAGAACCCAATTCGCTTGATCCCTCTAGAAAGCTAAGTAGCTAGATAGATTGTGTGTGTGTGTGTGTGTGTGTAAGAGAGAGAGAGAGAGAGATAGAAAGTGATGGGGAGAGGAAAAGAAACAGCATGATCCAATTCATTCTTGTTCCCAGAGGCCATGTCTAGGGGAGGATGATTGAAGAGCATAGAGACATGGCCCCAGACCGGGTAGGCAGACAAAAAGCAAGTCACATGATCGTCTTTCTACAGATGACAATGGTTATTTATTCATCTGTCCATTCTTTCAAAGATTTTTGCTTCCTTTTCTTCTTTTTTGACGCATATCACTCCGCCTCCACTTCCTACAATAACATTGCCGATTTACTTGCCCATTCACAGTTTTCATCTTCCTCATCATCCTCATCGTTGATGCCTTTCCTCACTCTCCGAATCACTCGCCCTCTCGCCTTTTCGGTCTCCCACTCCTTTCGCTCCGGAGCACCCTCGTACTCTCACTTCTCTTGGCTCGGCTCACTTCGTCGTCTGCTTTTGCTTCCTATTCTCGGTCGCTTTTCTTGTCTCAGTCCTGACAATATGAACGCACGGCTCTACCACCACATCGGCTCAAGCCAACCCGCTGTTGTCGTGTTTGCGGCAGAGTCGGATGGATGACTGCCAGACAATGTAGAGCTTGAAGATGATACTGAGCAGTGTGTCCGTTTAGACACGCCGCTCAATTGGGTGAGTACAGGTGAGGTGGCGGGGACAGGGAGCGGAGATTCTTGTCACGACATGTGCCTCTCCCAACTTTTGGAGAAGAGAGGGGGCCGGGAAATCGGGCGCTTATGGACGTTTGAATGCCTGCCTACCCTCTAATCAGCAAACAGGGTATCAGGTGCCGCCTTTTCCTCTGCTGGAGGAGATTGTTTGCGATTTGCGACGTATTAGTCTTTAATGTATATCGGCCTCTCATGGTTGTATTTGCCAATTCTTTTTTCACCCTGACGGACATTCTCGGCTCAATTTGGTTCTTTTAGTTCAGCCGGTTTGTTCAGCAATTTCAACCGGAACGTTAAGTGGTTGGTTCTCGTCCCGATCGCTCGCCCATCATCCATCACGAGGCAGAGACTTGGCTCAAAGCCCATTAGTCGGTATTCCGTACGAAATGATAATGCTGATTGCCACCATCGCGGTGGTGTTATTCTTTTATGACGTGAAATGACCTGTTTCCGCGATGAAAATAAGGCCGTCCACTTCAACAAAAAACTGATCCAGCGTCTCGTCTCGGTAATATCGCAAAATTTATGCCGTGCAAAGCTGCTTCCAGCTTCCAGCTCCCATTCACGTTCGTCCACAATGAATGACGAATGCCAAGTTCCTCCATCTAAGTAGTCTGCTCGGTGAAAAATCACTGAAGAAAAAAAGAAAAATCCAACAAATCCAAGCATTCCAACCAACATGAAAGGAATGCTAAAAATCATCTCAAGTAATCCGATTTTTTGGTATGCGGAGAATCCTTAAAGTCGAGCAACAGGAAGATTAACTGTAAAATGTAGATTGTTGCTGGACTGCAGAGGTATACACAAAGCCCTGCAATAGTCGCTGAATCAAACGAAACATGATCCTTAGATTGCTACACTATCTATAAATCCTTCAATTATCTTTGGAGTGTAATGAGACCTCAGGCAATGCGCTATGCGGAGGACCTAAAGAAGAAATGGGAGGAATGGTAAGTGTCAGAATATTTTCGGGACCTTCTGGATAGCTCTATTCTGTCAACTTTATGATTTGTTGTACTGCTCTTCTGTCTTTTATTGTAATAATGGTTTTAACCTAAGCCGATGAGTCTTTCAAATATGCATAGAGAGGCTCCGTAAGTCCAACTAATTACCGATGGGAAATGGGACAAAGAAATAAATTAGGATGATTAATACCCTGACCTCAGAGCTCTTAAATAAATGCTCAACAAGTTGAAACGAAAACAAGTTGACCAAACCATCGAATTATATTTGGCTTAGTCAACAACTAGTAAGGGGATTAGCTTCGATATATTTGGAACAAGATGAACAGGGGAGGAAAGTAGAGTAAATTAAATAAAAAAATTAAGCCTCCATAGTTATTTTAGATGATGCACACAAGTCTAACCATATGTACAGCCTGCTGTACTCCATGGGTTGGGTGGAGCCGGTGAATCTGCTCTGCTGGTACGAGCGGAAGTCTTATCAACCTCGAGTATATCTTAACAGGATGACGCGTGTGAACCAGGAAACCAAAGTGTGGTTATGAGCGCGGCGATAAAACTAGGTGAGAGCCAATTTGTACCAATGCATACTTCATATTGGGCTGATGAGTGTATATTTGGAGGGAAATAAGTCTAGGATAAACGATAAAAACTACGGCTTAGGGGTGATGTAAACAAACTGTTAAGATGGAAATTCTCCAAAACGAAGCCAAAGCTAACTTTGTAAGTTTGTATAGCAGGTGCGCACAGGAAACCCACAGACATGATGGAAAAAATAGTGTCGTGCCAAAATACTTTATTTTGAGATCAACTAGGAGGGTACATCATAACTTTAGGCAAAATATTCCAGGCAAATTAACGTCGAAAAACCAGATTTGACGAGTTATATTGAAAACTGTACTCTTATTAGACCGTGAAAATTTTTCAGAACACTCACAGTGCATAAAAATATCTTTAATTAATGAGCCCCTCTCTTAAATTATCAGATGCCAATAACGGGCCATACTGTGACATTAATAAACTATGCTGATAAAAATTCGCCTCGAAATGAGATCAAAGTGCTAACCTGATACAATATCAAGTAAAAGCTTAAAGACAATTCATACTAATTGCTAATTTACCAGGCAATCTAGGTGCACTTATGTACCTGCTTTACTTTGGAGAAGGATTACCTTTCGTATTGCAAAAGCAAGGTGAGTGAATAGGCTTCGAAATCATGAAACATTAAATGCTTTTTCATTGAGCAAAACATAAATAAAGGGAAGGATCAGACTTTTAGTGGGAGTGCCCCGCATTCAATAGTAAAGGCTAGACTCTTTGGTCTGCCGAAAAGGAAAGCTGTTGGGTGCATTAATAAAAATAAATTAATTGATACTAATAAGTAGTGAAAAATTCAGATGCGCGACAGAAATCATCAGGATAAGCCTCAACAAACCGCTAGATGCATCGATGTATGGTGAACGGGCTATTCTTCAAGTATTTTCTCACATTATCTGTTAGGGTATAGAGAGCCGTTAAAAACACTTGAAATGGGAGAATAGTTCATCAGACACTGCATTCATTGCATAGAGCTAACAGAAACAAAGCCAGAAAGTTAAACATGTCTTTCTAAACTACTTTCAAATCGAACAAAGTAACCCGTTTTGAAAATAAAAATAACTTATAGATTTCGGATCTCAGCTTCCGTGCTGACTACAATTTATTTGTAGATAAGAAGAGTAGCTAGGTTTAGATGACTCCCTTAAGGCAAAACTTTTGCGGAAACTTTAATATCGTATGAAAATATATGATGAAGGGATTAATTAGTTCAGCTCACAGGAAGACGATGGCCAATTCCTGTTGTTATGCCGTCGTTTAGTGTCCATCTCAATGCCGTATTAAAACCAAACGACAGCAGAGAACGTTAAACCGGCTGTCATCTTGCGGAGAGATGAACCAAGGATTCTGTTTATTATACACTTCCATACAAAGTAAAAGGCTCCACAACACATTTTCTTTAGCTAACAAAACTTATTTGCCCACCAAAATATCGATTCAAAACATTAAAAAAAATAGTTAGAAGAACACAAATGAATGTTTTCCAGGCAGTTAAGACCCTTATATATATATATATATATATATATATTTTATTAGCAGAACTGTAAAGCAAGATAAAGTGTATATTTTACAACATGATTAAAACGATATTAGGACTAGCTGATGTCCCACTTCCCAAGTCGTAGTTAAAGAATTGTCCAGGATAAAAAGGCTTTCTCAAGATGCTAGGCTCGTTATATTTACTCTACAAAGTATTTTTTAAACATCAGAAGCCATATTTTGTCATCCCTTTTATTTTTGTATGATATATTGAATTAACTGACGAAATCAATAGGTCACATATGGTTCCATGGCAATAGCGGATGGAATTCACAAAGTTGTTAACAAGTAGCCAACCCGTTTTGTTTAATAACCGCCAAAAAGCAATATACTCCACTGGAAAGGTGTATATATTATACGAGAGCTTTAATGACAAATTTATAACAATCTTCAGCTATGCCTATATAAAAAATAATCCTTTTTTTCATGAAAAATTATAGAGTACACAGATTTTTCAATTGAAAATTATTGAAAAAAGATCTCAAAGCGTAAATATTGAAATTGCTATACAGTTAAAATAGTAATGTAGGGTGAGACTATATTTATATTCATGCTTTCATCCTTCTTCTGACTGACTAAAATAACTTCTTTAGCTATAATGCAAGATTTTAAAGAGATAATGTGGAGAGCACTCGGAGATTAGTGGACAGCTCTTTTTTTTCGAGCAAGTATATAATTTGTGCACCAATCTATCTGGAATATAAGAAATCCACTTTATCAAAAATACCGCCGCCTCTATTTTGCAATTCAGGATTCGTTTTAGTTTATGCTTTTTTGTATCGTCTATGCTGAACTTATTACACGTAAACCACATTAACTTCGTCAAGATGGAATTAAGATTGCGAATCTGGTAAGTGGGTATAATAATGAGTAGGTGTTATGAGGCTCGCCAAAGGTACCAGAGACGAAAAAACGTCAGTTCTGTAGGATTTTGAGGTTCTATTATCTGCGG